ACACACGTGCATCTAGGTATGTAAATTGTAAAGCATTAAAACATGGTTTTACTAACAGTTTTCAGTATGTTGTTACTTCGGCATAATTATTATTATTATTTTGAAACGTGTATTACTATTAAATCACGGTCAAATAGGTTAATTTTGACATAGTCGTTTCCACCACAGTATTTACATGGAGAAGATAAGCCCCGCCCCCTCTCCAGCACGTTCTGTTTGAATGACAGGAGTAAACAGCTGACAGCCGCTGTGAAACTCCAGCGGTTAGAGCGATGAGAATGTCCGTTCGGCACCTCATGACGCATCTACTGAGTACCGGGCGGCTGTATATATATATATGGATGTATAATAAGAACGGCGGGAGAGTGTTGAGTACTGGCACGGTGCATGAGTACCGGAGTACCGCCAGCATGCCGGTACTGAGCAAGAAGTGCCGGTACTCCATGGGTCAGAACCAGAAGTGCCGGTACTGCGTACCGGTGAGTACCGGCCCAATTCCAGCACTGCCTCTGATACTATTCTGTATTATTTTAACGTTGTTTCTTAATTGCTGATGTATTTGTGTAGCATGTTCCTGTTGTAGTTCATCCAAGTGAAGCTACTGTAGTTAGTATTACAATTAGGTTTTTATAACCTTCTACAATAAATAATTGTGTTAAGTCTTCATCTGAAAAGTTCTACATTGTCAGAAAATGAAGTGTAAAAAAGTTGAACGTTTCTATCACATTCTTTAGCCAGTATAGGTTTATGTGCTTTATCATAATTAAACATCTTCGTAAACACCTACAATGGCTTAGAACTTCGAAATAACAACACAAGTTCCAAGAGGGAGTTAATTAGCAACTGTGTGTGTGTGTGTGTGTGTGTGTGTGTGTGTGTGTGTATGTGCGTGCGTGCGTGCGTGCGTACGTGCGCGCGCGCGCGCGTGTGCGCGTGTTCGTCAAAGTGAGAGTGCAGGCCTCTCTTTGTACTTAGACCTTCTCAAAACAGTCTTGTTTTCCACTATGTTTCACATTTAGGCTTATCTTCTGTCTTCTGTTTAACCAATACTTTCTTCATCTAATTTGCCAGGGAAAATGGAGGACACCGGACTAATGCTATACTTTGAATTTACAATTATTCTCTTATTTTTTGTAATTTTTCCATTCATCGAAAGTATGGAAAACTAACAAGTGCCAAAGTCTAAATTATTCCTAATTGTTCGTATCTTTTCCAGCCAAATTAAAAGTAAATTCAAAAAAAGAAAAAGTAAATTAGCATGTTTTTTCAAACACCCTCCTCCCTCAGATTCCTATGCCCCAGAAGCTGTTTCGTGTAGTGCATGATCAAAAAAAAAAAACATACAAAATACAAATATAAGGCTTCAAAGATGATCACAAAAAATAATGTGTATCTGGAAGTGCTTTGTTTGTTGTTGAGCTACAGACGATTATGCTTGAGTTGCTAAGCAGGTGAATGGGGTATTGCATAAGTTAAGACGGACTGAATAAACATGTCACTGTAGATACAAAGTTATTTGGCCTGACTTGAGAATTTTCCTCAGCTAGAAGAAAGAGAAGAGTAGTGGTGGTGAAGACTCAAAGCCTGGTCCATAGAAAGTCCCATATTATGGAAGTTAGATTAAAAAAACTAAACAAAGTCATTAGCTTCGAGAAAAGCAACAATCCCTCATACCAAAGAAGCTGTAACCAGACGTAACATCTTTTTTTAAAAGTGTTTTTATTAACTTATTTCAGGTTAAACTACTCACCAAGTGTTCTTTAGTTATTGAAAGAAGCCTCATGGTGGCCTTTAATTGCATCTCAAATTACTGTGGTCCTCTGCTCCATTAAACACGGGGGATGTTAACACTCCTTCCTCAGTGTTACATTAGGTACACATTGGGATTTGGTTTAAGTACAGTTGTTTACTCCTGTGTGATTTATAATGTGTTGTTATTATTAAATTAACGGTTATTTCATTAAATGTTAGGAGGTAAGTGTTCCTGAATTTCCCCAGTGACCAATTTAATGGTAATTACTCTATTAGCTAATTGGATATTAATACCTGGCACGAAATCAGAAATATTGTTCGTCTTACTTTTGCTCTAACTAATGGATTTCTATATATGCTTGATTCAAAATTGCCATTGGTGTTGCTAAGAGGGATTAAAGGCAGACTGATCCACAGAGAATAAAGAAAGGATGGATTTTAACCTTCATCACAAGATATAGTCTTTTAAAGATCTGAACCAGCGGGTGATTCAGAATATGCTGCCAAACTGTTTGAGAAAGGTAAGTGTACAAGTTTGAGCCCTATGAATTGATGCAAAGTCTTACAGGAAATACTCATGCTTTATTTATTCTACTGTAATGCATAAGAGTTAGTATAAAGTGTTTTTAACAGATCAAGAACCATTTGCTACACTGCTATTGTTTAAATGTCAGATATTGTGTTAATGAGCTGTATCTTATAAGTTGAATAACTTCCCCCATATTTCCTTTACAGTGTGTTCAGGACATTATAGTCCATCATGGCAGAGGGGAATCAGAGCACTGTGACTGAATTTATCCTCACTGGCTTCCCTGGACTTCATCCAGAGTACCAAGACCTTGTTTCAGCAATATTGTTCTTTGTTTATTTCCTAACTATGGCGGGCAATGTAACAATTATGTTTGTATTTGCCACGAACCACAGCCTTCATAAGCCGATGTATTATATCATTCTGAATCTGTGTACATGCGACATTCTCTTTAGCACAACCACTTTACCTAAGATCATCAGCAAGTATTGGTTTCATTCAGGGACTATTTCATTCACAGCTTGCTTTGTCCAAATGTTTTTTGTTCACTATCTCGGCACAGTGAATTCCTATATTCTCTTCCTGATGGCTTTAGATAGGTATTTAGCGGTCTGCCATCCTCTCAAATATCTCATTCTTCTTAATAACTCCACTATCTTAATTCTAAGTATTACTGCGTGGGTTGTCGCTCATGCAGGCCCTTTAATGATGGTTATTAGGGCATACCCTCTTCCTTACTGTGCCTCAAACATCATCAACCACTGCTACTGTGATCATATTGGTATAACAATCCTAGCATGCACTGACCGGGCCCCTTATGGTTTTCCTGCTTTTGTGAATGCAATGGTTATGTTACTGGGAACTCTGGCATTCATCGTGTTCTCATATTGCTGTATAATTATAGCAGTACTTAAGATTGCAAATGTACAAGGTCGCATCAAGTCTCTGTCCACTTGCAGTCCTCAACTGATCATAATCTTGCTCTATTATTTACCCAGATGTTTTGTATATTTGGCCAGCAATGTTGGCATTACGTTTAGTGCTGATGTGCGAATAGTAATTATCATGATGTATAGCCTTTGCCCCCCGATGATTAATCCACTTATATACTGCTTAAGAGCTAAAGACATGAGAGAAAGCTTGAGGAAACAATTCAAAAGAAGAGCAGTTCTTAAAAAAGCACACGTTTCAGCTATTAGTGACTGATGATAATATTCAATGTTTCAATTTTTTATTTGAATTAGCCATCTTTCGATATGGGACCGGAATAGTTACTTACTGATAAGGACACATTGAAAGCTAAAAATGTACAATATTTGCATCTTTGATCAATTAAAAATGTTCCCCTTATCAATATGAGTTTTTTTCTTTTTGTTAAGTGACATTTTTTTGTTTAAGACATGTTAGAATATTACTTGAATGAGAAATAGTGTTTTTATTTTTTATTAAAGGTTGAGTTTAAGCATTATAGCAAACAGATCACAGGCTTGATAAGAATATAGCTGCATAATTTGGTCAAAGATAATGACATAAAGCATGATAAACGTATATTTTACATTTGTGTATGCATTTTATAATATTATATAGACAGTAAATGTGTATGTTATTCTTTGGTGGATGTTAACAATCATAGATAATCTATTTTCTGTGAGATCAATTTATACTTTTCATGCTTTCATTGTACACCATATAATAGATCTAATTCATATAGATGTTTTTTAATGTGATGTTCTTACAATAAAATATATTTTTACTCGTCATTTTACTGGTGTTCCCTTGAAGCCCACTTACTATTTTTAAGACTCCTAGACTGTTTTAATGAGGACCTTAGAATCATTGTCTTCCTTGCTGTTCTCACATGATGAATTAGATTTGAAAATGAGTGATATTGCATAGCTCAATGTATGTGCTTTATGTGATGGACCGATATATTGTATCCTTATACCAGTGATAGATATATTTTGAGATGACTAAAAAAGGGAACAACTACAGGTTATGCCCCCACACTGTACAGCAAGGGAACAATACACATTTTCTAATTTTTTGCTACAAATTAAAGATTAGAAAGCAAGATGTGATTTGTGATTAACATTTGAAAATCTAATAAACGTACTACTTACATTTTAAATTGTCAGGATAAGGAAATAAATTATTGTATTATTATTAAAAGTTTTTTAATTGCATTGAATAAAAAATATGCTTGGCATAACTGGTTTAATTACTACTATCCACACCATGATCTGTATTTGTAAAAGCAAAACAATATCTGCAATATTAATACAGGTTCTGCACAGTATCCGCAATTTTTATTTGGTTATATTTAAGAAAACATGTGGATTTGTTTCTGGTTTAATAGTCACAAACTAATATGTACTGCTAGTCATAATACAAAGATGTAATTAAGACATAGTGATAAGCAAGGTAATATTAATGAGGTAAGCTCTGCTTGGTGCACATATTTTACAAAGGACATGTTATATGTGGGTTGGCCAAGTCCTTATGTCACTCACTGTGGAGCCCTCATAATACAGCATGCAGACATCTGCTTTGACTGGGATGAACTGCATCCGACTGGGATTTACCTCTAAGGTGATAGCAAAAACAGCTGGATCCTAAAGACTACCTATAGATAATGTCTGAATGATGTTTGATGATGATTTGAACTTGCAATTTCCTTTTTAGAGAACATTGAACGCAGCATTTTTACAGATTACTTACAATGATTTATAGAAATATAACAACAGTGAAGGACTTCATGATACTTCGGTTTCCAGGACTTGACCCAAAATATTACGGAGCTGTGTCTACTCTCATGTTCTTCACCTACTTGGCTATTGTTGTTGGAAATACTTTTATTGTAGTTCTCGTTGGGGTCAGGAGGAATCTTTACAAGCCAACATATCTAATCTTCTGGCATTTGGCAATTAATGATTTGTTATTTGGGACACTGACATTACCAAAAATGATATCAAGATATTTTTGGGATGACAAGATGATATCTTTTGCTGCCTGCTTCACTCAGATGTATTTTGTTCATTCCTTAGGAGCAATTCATTCTCTCCTTCTGCTAATAATGGCCCTTGATCGTTTTATTGCAGTTGTTTTCCCATTAAGATACCCTGTTCTAATCACCAACAACATTATTACTCTGTCTTGTGGGTTGTCCTGGATTGGGATATTTATCAGATGGCAGTTCTATATCATGCTCTAACCTTGCCTTATTGTGATTCTAATATCATTGTGCAATGTTATTGTGATCACATTTCAATTACAAAACTGGGATGTGATGAAAATGTAAAATATGTTCAGAGTGTTGCTTTCAGTCTTGCAATGTTTAGTCTTTTGCTTCTACTTTCGTTTATCATCGTTTCCTATATATTCATCTTTGCAGATGTTTTGAGAATAGCAAACACCAGGGGACGATACAGAGCTTTATCAACGTGCACACCACAGTTATTGATTTGTTGCCTGTATTACCTACCAAGATGTTTTGTTTATCTTGCTAATTTTACAGTTTTCTCTTTCAGCTCTGACATCCGCATGTTATTGATATTGTTTTAGCCTTATTCCTTGTGCTGTTAACCCACTCATTTATTGCTTCAAAACCAGAGAAATTAAAGATATTGTGATGAAGGGATTAAAACATGTTAAAATTGGAGTTAAGTAAACTTTAAAGTAATGCATACACATACAGTGTCTTCATATTTGCATAGAAATCCACCAATATTGTTGTAATTCAAATGAAAGATGTGTGTTAATCTATATTATATTTGTTCTGTTATGAATGAGATTGCAAGTTTAAGCAACACATTCCCTGTATGGTGCTGTGGCTTGATTGTTATATGAACTTATTACACATGTTGCCCCTCTGCTAAATACCTTAAAATGCAGTTTTTATGCATTTCTGCACATAAAAAGTAACACTAGAAACATGATATATGTGGCATTCAAATAAAAATAAAATGATATACAAATGAGTAGAGGGCCTTACTTTTGATTTATGTTCACTGAATGTTTCTTACGCTTTTTGATATATTTTAATGGATCTGATTAAAATATGCAAATAACATTTCAATTATATTTTCATCACTATGATGTCAGATCAAAATATCTGAGCACACATAAGGAATGTTGGGCCAGTTTCTGATAAAGCAACATAATATGGGAACTGTATCCATCTGACAGAGGAAAGTGAAATGCAAAAATACAGTTTGCCTAAAGCATATCTTTAGAATCAAATTAAATAATGCGGGTCCATCATTTTAATGTTTTTATAGGTTTTTGTATTAGTCTGTAGCCTTCCAGTGTGTCTCCATTCATCCAAATGTTGGCTAAAGTAGGTATGTTTCATTCAAGCCCTTAAAAAAACCTTTTGACCTGAAATTGGATTCTGTATGATGACGTTGCTACACAAACAAAACTGTATATATATATATATATATATATGTATATCCACTACATAAATAGTGTATACAAACAGTAGCAGTAGTGTGGTCAATTTGAATTTAAAAGTGATTTTATTTGTATTGCGCACCTAAAATAAAACTTATATTAAGCCAAGTTGTGAGGTTTTGTTGCTTTTCTGTGTTGTTTTTTATAGTTCCACTAGACTAGGGGCTGCCAACAGAGAGTTTTTCAAAATGTACAGTATCCTACTAGGAGCTTTAGTGAAACCACATTTGTACAGAACTTTGAAAAGTGTTTGCAAATGCAAACGTCTAAGGGAAAAGAAAAGATGCCGTCATTTACACATAATTATAATATCCTACTTTAAGTTGGGTTCTATTGTAACATGAGCTTCCTAAATACCTGGCATACTAGAAGGTGTAGTAATGAAAGGTAATAAAACAGTGATGAACTTTTGTTAAAGATACTGTATGCCATGATATTCTTTCTTACTGTTTAACCGTTCAGCAACCAGGCTGAATTTAGCTTAAGTGTGCCTTCTAAATGTATTTTCATCTATTTTAATATTGATAATAATTATACATTTGTTTTCACCTTTATGCATGTTTCGCATAAATCATTGATATTCATAAGGAAGAAGTTTCCATCATGCTGTTTGTACCCTAGAGGTTAGATTGCAGATATGCCCCATTGAGGATATGCATGGTCACACAGCACACAGAGCAGATATTAAATTCACCCAGGCATCGCTCTCAGTGTTTAGTTGTTGGCCTGCATCTGAAAGGTAAGACTCTAAGCTGGACGTCACAATAGAAATCACAAAACCTGTTTTATATTAATTGGAAATCTTTATTTACTTTTATATACTATAAAGTTGACTGATAACCTATTGATTGAAATGGTGGAAAACTAAATATACAGTATATGCCTTTGTCAAAACATTTCAAATAATATCAAATAGCTTTTCGATTGGAAAATTGTTGTCCTGATTTATTTTTGTCAGATAGAAAGAGGAGGGAATAATTGTATATGTAACTATTTAAACTCTTCAATTATTTATTTTTTATTGTATTAATAATTACAATCATCTATCATCTGATATCAAATATTTGTGTAAAATGTATATCATTTACACTATTCTCAATTAATTCTATTCACATTACAATTGTATGAGAGCAAAAAGCGATTACATTTTTGTATTAAAGGAGCTTTAACTTGAAATGATGACAATTATATAACTTTAATCAAATGTCAAAATCAAAATGAGTGTGCTGATTAATCCTATCAATTATGAGACTAATACCTTTCTTTGTCTTGCTGATCCACGTGTAAACTGCTGATTGTGAAATAGGTGAAAATGATCTACACCAATGTAACAGAGATGAGAGACTTTTTAATCCTTGGATTTCCTGGACTTCTACCAATGTATTATGGACCTGTGTCAGCTCTGCTCTTTTTCGTCTACCTAGCTATTGCAATAGGAAATATTTTCATTTAGCATTTGTGATCTATGAAAAGTCCCTTAAAAAACCAACATATCTGGTCTTTTGTCACCTGGCACTGAATGACTTAACATTTGGCACTGTGACTCTTCCAAAGATCATATCAAAATATTGGTTTGGTGATAGCATTATTTCATTTTACGGTTGCTTTACACAAATGTTCTATGTTCACTATTTAGGGTCAGTTACTTCTTTTAACTTGTTGGTAATGGCCATCGATCGATTTATTGCAATATGTCTTCCGATGCGTTATCCTGTCTTTATCACAAACAACACCATATCTGTGCTCTGTGGCCTTGCCTGGTTCATCCCTCTGCCTCTATTGGTGACTATTGTACTCCAAGCCCTCACTTTACCTTACTGTAAATCAAATGTCATCACTCAGTGCTTCTGTGACCACATTTCTATAACAAGTCAGGCATGTGGTAGGGAGGTTAAAATTGTACAAGTCACTGCCCTCTGTTTGGCCATGTTTTGTCTCTTGCTACCTCTTGCATTCATCTTGTTTTCATACATTTCCATTATTGTGGTTATTCTGAAAATGTCCAATGCTGCCGGTCGCAAAAGAACCTTATCTACTTGTTCCCCACAAATATTTATCACTTGCCTTTTTTACCTTCCCAGGTGTTTTGTCTATGTAGCCAATACTGTTGGGTTTTCTTTCAGTTTGGACATCCGTATTTTATTAGTCTTGTTGTACAGTCTTTTACCTGCTGCTGTTAATCCAATGATATATTGTTTTAAAACTCAGGATATCAAGCAGACTTTGATAAAGAAGCTGAACAAAACTAGGATTGGAATAGATATAAAAGTTTCATTCTAATAGCATACTGATACCTCAGTAGTCTGCTCTAAAAGTGTGGCCGTATTTGCAAGAAATGTGACTGTGCAACAAAAATAGATATTACTTTTAAAAATACAATTGTATAATATTAAGAAATAAATATTAAAGGTTTTAATTTTTTTATTGGTGCTTGCTTCATTACTGTAGTTTGCAGTTTGGATTATATTAATAACTAAATAGTACTCACTTGAAATATAAAAAGTAAGTACTTTACAATTGCTGCACTTTGTTGTGACTGATACTTTAAAAATAAAGAACACCCCAAATAAAAAGGCGTATTTTCATTTATATTTGAAGGCTTCTGAATAGCTTCTCCTCTGCTAACTAGAAGTATTTGTGAGGAGTTATTAAACAAAGGTGTAGTGTCATACTTGATTGATAATTTAGGAAATGTGTTGATTTGGTAAGACCAGACTTTCAAAATATATTCTTATTAATATTAGCTAAAGCTCAACATTATTCAAGGGATCCCTTGGTAAGCCACAGTGTGATATGTGCAAGGGGTACATTAGCAGAACTGCCTACAGCCAGAGGCCCCAAGACCCTCATGTCACCTGAATGGTCCAGGTTGTGTCGCTATTGAATAAAAAAATGTATGCAGAACTTTATTTCATTATAAAGCAAAATAAAAGTGGTGTTTAGGATATACACTCATCATTAAAGTATGGAAGCCTGTTTGCGCCACAGGGAAGAAAAAGAAAATAACAATAATAAGTCCTTATTTATTGCAAGTACAAGTATTGTTGTTGTACATGAGTTTTGGTCTTATGATCTGCTCAATATGTCTAAATAACTTTAATTTAGGTATTTCTATCTAAGAACATGTTCCCTATTTTAAAGTGAAGTCTTGTTCATAACCAATAAGCTAGTAGTTTGACTCTAATTGACCAGAACAGGTTCCCTATTCTAAAGTTGCCTCCTCTTCACACTTTGTAAATACATTATAGCACACAACTACTGAAATTAACCTCAACAGTACTACATGAACAAAGTAGGCTCACGTTGAAATATCTGTTTTATTAATGAACCACTAAGAGAGATACAGACACATACCAAAACATGTCAAGTTTCACCAAGGCTGAGAACACATAATGCAGCCTGTACTTTTGAATAAAAACAGATGTTTTGTATTTGTGATCATACTGTGGGACCTGCTTGTATGTACTTACACAATAGGTGTACTGTTCTCTCTATGTGTTGTACTGTCTCAGTGTGAACTGCCAGCCAAACGTGTTTGAGAGCCAGGGAATGAGCAGCCATGCTCCTTTATTGACTTATTTGCAGTCCACTGACATTCAAACGGAGTGAAACTATAAAAAAAGAAGTTACAAGGCACTTAATGATCTCATACATGCAAGTGTAACATACACAGATTACTTGTGTCATGTAGAATAAGGCATTAGTAAGTGTTTTATAATGACTAATAAAGAGCCAATATACTGCTAATATGCATGTTAATTAACAACTACACTGTAAAAACCCAAACTTAAAATTGTTGGCCTGAAAATAATTTGTTTGTAAAGTGAACAAAAAATATTGAATTGAGTTGCTTACTACATTAAAGTAGTCAGGTGGTCAGGGAAGCCGTCCGACTGAAGAAGGAGGCCTTCAGGGATTTGTTATCCCGGGGGACTCCCGAGGCAGTTGCAAGGTACCGACAGGCCCGAAGGGCAGCAGCCTCATCCGTGGCCGAGGCAAAGCAGCGGGTGTGGGAGAAGTTCGGAGAAGACATGGAGAAGGACTTTCGGGCGGCACCAAAGTTGTTCTGGAAAACTGTCCGACACCTCAGGAGGGGGAAGCAGGGAACCATCCAAGCTGTGTACAGTAAGGATGGGACGTTGTTGACCTCAACTGATGGAGTGTTAGGGCGTTGGAAGGAACACTTTGAGGAACTCCTGAACCCGACAACTCCGC